CCAAACGGTAAACTGAAAAGTTCTGGATATTAACTTTGGGTTAGAAGTCCACTTTGTTCTCATCAGTGTGCCCACCTAAAGGCTATAATATCCGCTCTCCTGGTTATTTTTAATCTGCTCTTTATCTTGCCACTACTGCAGTCTTAGAATTGACCCACAGAGTGGAAAGTGTGTCCTTTAGAGGTGTATGCTAGGCTTCCAGTCTAAAAGTTCAGCTCAAAATAAAGTTCTCCCTCCACAAGCATGCATTATATATGTATAGAGATATATAAATAGATGGCCATAGTACAGATCAGAAACATAATTATTAAGTCCCTTGGCAAACCCCAGACAAACTATATACTTTTCCATAACATGATCAAGTCAACATATATTTGTAACATTCTTGTAGAGTCTTTATCCGGTGAAGGACATCTATGTGCAGAAACAATTTTAGGCACGTGGTGTTGGTGCACATATAGATGCAGGCTCACATTTGGATGTTACTGAGATAATTAAATGTATTTTCACTTGATGTCCCACTTGGGGAAAGGTAGGATATGAATAAAATAAATACATAATTTTAATGTAGATAGGGACGTGCACCTTCATCTATAGTCATAAATTTACATTAGCAGAGACAGGGTATTCTCTTTGTCTAAACACATTCTTTAGAGGAGAAAGGAAATACTAATAAGAAAAGATATACAATTTCATCCAGAATTTTGTTTAATAATCTGCTGACTTACCACAGTCAAGCTGAAGACATACAAGATGCACCAAGCAGATTATCAGTCTGTTGTTCACAGTGGTGCAGGTGTTTTGAGAATTTTACTGACTCCCAAAATGTTTGCCATGCAGTATCTTTTGCAAAGTGAGAATGCAAACATTTGTTTCCATGTTTTTAAATATGTTGTCTGTGTGCCCTTGGGTTGGAGATTGCTGCAGAAAATGTTTTACTTTAAGCATATTTCCAAGTGACAGAGTTGTCTTAGCTCTACAGAGAAATAGTCTCCTTCAATTTATTATATTTTACTTATCAATTGTCCTTCCACCTGCTTTTGCTGAGCACTTGAAAATATAGCTGTCTCTACAACCATATAATATCAATTTCCCATAATGACAAAAGAAACTAGAGGTGATTTTGTTCAACTAGAATTGTGAAAATGTTAAGCAGTCCTGCCTGTGTTGTTTATCATTCCTAATTTTCAGTCTTGGGGGCAGCAATTGGTTTAAAAACGGAAAAGTCACATAAAAGATACACCATGACTACATATAATTAGTAGTTTTGGACTTTTGATTATGTTTATAAAACATATTATAAAAAATGTTTAGGTTCAGACTTTAAGAATTGCCTGTGTAGATAAAAAATGCCCGTACAGTGTCCTATATGACCTTTGATGTAAAACTACTGACTTTCATTGACCTAAATAATAAAAATGGGTTGTGGTCCAAAGACTGTAAAGTAGTTTGCATTTTGATTCTCTTGAATTTCCCTGTTTTCCCTTTCCTTGTCCTTTTTGATGGAAGTCCACCACTGAATTATACCCATTGTTATTTGCACAAGAGATCAGTCTACCCCAATCTGATAGCTTCCAAGATTGCCTGAGCCCGCTGTGCTGTTAAAATAATGGGAGAGTTGTGGTCCAGTGCATTTCAAGGGAACTAAGTTGGAGGACGCTGTTATAGATTATAATAATAGCATTTCCTAGAAGAGCATATGAAGTCAACAAGGGTAATGGAAATACTATGTCTCCAGTGTCCCACTCTAATAGAAGGTAGGCTGCCATGTTGTATATTAGTTTCCAATCTGCATTTGTAGAGTCAGACAGATGAGCTCCAGGATAACATTCTTGCGATTGAATGGTGAGCACTCATTAAATAGGCTTTCAGCAGATAAGGGTTGGAAAGATTATTTGTTTGATGGTGTTGATAAAAGATATCCTTGTTTAGTGTGCTGTTTAGTCATTTGAGTGAATTTGAATGATCTGTGTACGCAAAGCTGGAAATTAACCCACACAATGGATATTCTTCAACCCCTGTTCCCCAGCCTCAAGGCTGGTATGTCATCAGTACTTCGGTCTTGTGTGAAGTCATGTTCAGATATTAGTAAGCAATTAAAGGAGGAATGCAAAGAATGTTCATGAAACTTTTGTCTCTGATAAGAAGTGTCTTGTGACAATTGGAGACATGTTGTCAAAAATTGGAAATCAGTGCCAAGATATTTCACTTTCTGTGTAAGAATCAAATGTGTGTTTTTCTCCTGGTCAAGATCATCATGTTTGCAAGAGACATTTACACAAAAGCAGCCTCATTCCCCTTAGTCAAGCAAAATGTACACACTCAGCAAGCACAGAAAGACAGGACTATTGATCAAAAAGCCAGTTCAGCAAACCAGAGGGTTATTGCAAGGATCACAACTACATAATGCATGGTTGGTGCTTTGATCACTTGGATGTGCAATATAAATATTAACAACAGTTAAATTCAATCACTTTTTTAAAATGGCAGTTAATTGGCTGAATGGATGAACAAATTACAAAATAACCCAATTTCCAGGCAAGTGCTAAAGAAAGTATCAGAGGCATAGTTTATAGCTCTTGGATGGCATGACTAATAGTTGCGAAACCTTGTTTCATCTGGCCAATTTTAAGTTTTCATTCCAAGTATCGGCATGCAGCATTGATATGGAATTATTCCCGATGAAACCTGATTCTTTGCTTACATTCATCCTCACTGCCTCTATCTGTTTGAAAGTATATTCTTGATTCACAAAAACAATGCATATAGTTTCATTTCTGTGGTAATTTTTCAGCATCTGAAAATGTAATAGTATTTTCCATGAAATTAGCTTTCTAGTCATAGTTTGGGAAGATTAATTTTTAACCAAGGCCTTCTTCATAGCTTTGGGCCAAAAGAGCTGCAGGGCGTTTTTAAAATGTTAATGTGATCTTTTTGATCAAAATGAGGTAGAGATTTTACCAGTTGAAAAATATACCAGAAAAAACCTTAACAAACTGTTAATGATTCTAAATTTAAAAGGTTTTAATATACTCAGGAGACCCAGAATCATAACTACAAGAATGTCAGTTGCTCTGTGTTAGGTGCTTCTTCCCACCTTCAAAACTCCAATTTGTGTGTGCATTTCTTCATGCCATCTGTTGACTTTTTGCAACCCCATTAATTTCATGGGGTTTTCTTAGGCAAGGAATACTCGGAAGTAGTTTTGTCAGTCCTTTCCTTTGACATATAGCCTACATTACCTGGTATTCATTGGCCATCTCCCATTCCATTTCCCAGTCATGGCTTACTCTGCTTAGCTTGTAGGATTAATTTTGATCGAATGCCTTTAGGATATTTAGGTTGATTCCAAGCTATGTACAGCCCTTAGTTCATTGCAGAACTCTGTCTGAGCACAGTTTTTCTCATTATAGCTAAATCTTGTGATAGAAAACGAGCAGAATGACCCCAAGTTAAAAGTTAGATTGCTAGATGACCACATGTATTCTGTCAGAATGCTAAATGCTGCAAAATGTTTAACCTCGTGAAGAAGGATAATCTAAGATCAGTGGTTCCAACTTTTTTGGGCCATGGGCAGATCCTGGGTTTTTTAATAATTGTAGTGTAGAAACAGAGGCTAATGTGTGGACTCCGTAAGATGACTGCAGATAATGAGGTCATTCAGAGAATAACAAGAGGACTACTGTGTGCTTACTTTCTCTCACACACATAAAGATAAAAAATACACATACAGAAAAGGAGAGTGAGGAAAACAGAGGTGATTTCCTCCTGTATGCAAATGAAGAATGATTTCTCAATTATCAAAGGAGGAGCTTTACTGCTGGAAAAGTCATAGGTATAAAGCTCTCATCACCCAAGGTCTTTTTTGAGAAGTGGGCTCACACCAGTTGTGTTTCAGCACTGACAATTTCTCCCTTTTGTTCAGATGATCAGATAAATTTCTCCAATGACTTTCATAGTGCAAAAAAGCATTGACAGCCTGGTGGATATCTCAGCAGTGCTGTTAATGTATGCCACATTAGAGGTACCATTCGTAATGTGTATTTTTCATTGGCCATTCATACCATCTACTACCAGCTCTGTTTATCTGGAAACATAATACATTTTAGTGTTTGTTGCACAGTTGCATTTCTCACTTGAGCATATATTGCTCTATAATCCACTTTTCACAATATATGCTTTCACTGCTCAGATCTGATAATTTCAACCCTTTAACAGGTAGCTGGAATTTTTCTGATGATCTTGCGGAGAATGATGAAGAGCTGTATTTCCTCTTAATATATTATATCAGTTAATTGTTTTTATGCATGGCTCGGTTTATTGTTTATGAACCTAAGAGTATTATTGTCCATTGTGTTTGGGACATTAAACTCACATTGACATCAAGTAATGCAGTTGACTTCGATGGACAATTTAGTTAGTTCTAATACTTTCTAGTGATAGTTGCATATTTTTATTCATCTGTGAAAAGAGGCAAGCGACAAGAGAGCAAAAAAGACTCATACTGCATTTTGAGCTCATTGTAACTTTTTTAAACATTCAAATGAATAGCTTCAGCATTATTTTACATACAGTCAATTAGAATGTATAATAAAGAAAATATTTTAAGGAGCTCTAATATTAGCATGAAGTTATTAGAATGGTAGACAATCTTTACCTCCTCTGTTGTGTGGAATGGAACATATATACAGTTCAACCTCCTGAAGTCTTCATACTGCTACAAATATGTGGAATCATTATATACAGTAGATAGAAAAAAACGTTACTAGTATTATTTGGGTTAAACTGTCCTTTGGTTTTTTTCTTTTTGATAATTTCCTTTACAGAATTCAAGGTCATACATCTTTCCATTTTCAAGGGAATCCTTGTCATGGTGATAAAAATCATGTTTCACCTGCAGTCTTGATCTTCATTAGCTGATAGGAGGGATTTGCAGCATTGGCAATAAGTTCTGCTGGTTGCTGGCTGGCTGCCAAACTAGGCTGCTGTTTAAGATACCAGGTCCTCGCTCTTTCTCTGCCTTGTTCTCTCATTCTACATCATTCCGTGCTACGTCTTTGCTTGAAGCATACTGTAAAAGCTTTTGTAACCAGATGGAAGTAAAGCTGCTGCTACTTGCTTGGAAAATCATATGTATGTAATCCTGAGGTTTGTGCTATTGAGGATGGAATTTTTGCTGTTGGAGAAGAAGCAATCAGATATGCAGTCAGAATTTTAAGACCAGCTCAGAGTGCACTTGATTTCTTTGGCTGGCTGCTGAATGTAGCAATACAGATGGATGTGTATTCTAATACCCCAGTTTCAATGTATGGAATATGAAAGCAATGTGATTTTAGAAAATGAAACCAATGGGAAGTAAGTCTGCATTTTCAAAGTCTGTTTCTCAGCCAGAACATCCATTCTTCCAGGTGTCATGCAGGTATGTACATGTTTTGGTTTTTGTGCTCTTAATATATTTAGCCTTGCAAAACTGCATTAGCGTGCCTGTTTCTCCAGTGGCAGTAGGAATGTTTGTCTTGAAAACTCCTTGAATTGGAGAACAAAGGCAATATTTAACAATGAAATTTGATTATCTTTCTCTGCAGTCTGGGCAGTTTTTTAAAAAAATGATGTTATACTTACATGCAGATGACCTTTCATAATCAGTTATGAGGCTTTCTAATGTTTTAAACACAGTGATGCCTGAAAATGATGCTTTTATAATAAATTGTTTTCCAAATAACCCTGGTTATTTCGTCATGCTGTGGCAAAGATGTGTATGCTTCACTGAATAGTATTCTGTTTCTATTAAAATACTGTTTAGTCACAGAGAAATTATCCTGGTAGATCAATTTTGTGCAGGCTAACTTGATTATACTTTCAAAACTGTTAAGACAAGACAGATTAGAAATATTAACACATAAGGAAATACAGACACGAATTATTCGTCATGCATTTTTGTGCATTTTTGTCTGTTTAGTCAGCTATCAATATTGCCTTTGAAAATAAGTTTTAATGTAACTTTCCAGCTATATTGTGATATGGCTTGAAGATCCAAAGGCTTATGTTAATTGGCTTTTGGTTTTGCAGATGACTGAATTGTTACAAAGAATAAACAGAAGTTAAACAAGTTTTATTCTCAGCTTTCAGTAGCTATCTTGTGTTTCTGGCACACCTTTCCAAAGGAATGCAGTCTTTGTTTTCTGGCTCAGTATTTGAAGCCTCTGCCTTTTTCTGGTGCAAAACTGAAAACCAGAGTAGAGGTAGTTTCTACATAATTACTCATGTGTTTGCAATGTATTTGCGACAGAGAGAGTGAGTACAAGCTATTGATTAATGCATCTGAAATGTAAGAATGTGCCCTGAGCCAGGAGTTAGGGTATTTGCATATAGGTTTTTAAGACTTATTATGATAAATATCATTACTTTGTTGGGTTGCTAGTTCCATGTAAGTTGTTTCACAGATTAGAGAGCATACATCATCTGCTCTTATAGCAAATGGAGGTGGTCAGGTTCCCATCAATTAAAAGTGAAAGAGGGCCATCTAAAAATAAGGTATTTTATTTATCAGATTCATATCCTGCCTTTCTTTCAAAATGAGATCCAAAGTAGTATTTAGGTGTTTCTTTTGTTCATTTGTTTGTTTTTACAATACATATTTTTAGGTCAAAGATTTATGGAATGTTACCACTTGAGAATAATCTATAAAGAGATAACACAAACTTGTGTCAAGATCTGAAACTGCCTTGGTACATTTAAAACATCAAAGACAGGCACTGTTGCCTTTGTTGCTTCTTTTGTTTGGAAAAGATCACACCACTTAAGAAATGGGAATATATTGTTATTTAACAAGTTATTTAACAAATCTGTTTTGCAACTCACTCAGATCTATTGCCATGTTCTATTGCGATTTTTAAAGGGGTAGGAGTAGGTTTTCTGTCACCCAAATCCAATTGGCATTTGATATAGCTATAATTAAGGAGTGCTACTTGGATCTCCTTGTAGATCTTAATGTTGTGGTGGAAGTTAGGAGCCCCCCCCCCCCCCGGCCTTTATATAGCAATGCTACTCAAACCAGTGGTTCCTGGACTGGTGCTAGTCCCTGAGCCATTGAATTCTGGTCCCTAGCAAAGAGGAGACCAGGAAAGGGGGGGGGGGGGGGAGGAATTATACTGAATAAGCACAAATATGGCACCAGTCACTCACATCAGATGGCTTGAGAACCACTGGTGCATAGGACTTGGAGGTAAAGGGAAGATGCATAATTAGAATGGATTTAGTATTAAAATAATTATATAGAAAAAGATAGCCTCAGGTCTAAATCTCTCTTAACCATAAGTTCACTGAAGTCCTCCGGCAAGGTCTTGTCTGTCAACCACACTTCTTGTTCTAAGGCCTGCTGCAATAAAATATGTGAAAGGGGCACTGTAACTAATAATAGTATGCCTTACTGTTTGTCTTAATAATCAAAGTTTGCAAAGGGAGGTGGTAGGTGAATTGTGAACAACTTACAGTTCCATGTGTACTGAGAATATTATGGTGATAGATCGGACATGAATCTTGTCACAGTTTTTGTTGTAGACTAGAATGATATTTGAATCCAAGTAATTCATATGCATAATAGAATGATGTATATGGATTATTTCGCCCTTGTGCCATGCAGAGAGGCCTTTGTACAGACACTGTGGAAAAAGACTACAGTAACATGTTTATTAAGTTTATAATTCTACACACACGGATAGATACCTACCTAAAAACTCCAGTCATCACCCATGTAAAAAAAAAAAGCACAATAAAAGCCCTCTCAGACCGTGCAAAAAGAATTAGTGAACTCCACCTCCTCCAAGGTGAACTGAACCACCTAGACTGGGCTCTACAGGCCAATGGATACTCCACCACAGACATCAGTAGAGCTGCAAGGCCAAGAACAAGCCACGAGAGTAAAGACAAAAATTCACCAAGAGGAAAAGTGTTCTTACCTATACATCAAGTGAGCCACTGACTGCATAGGGAAGCTGATGAAGAAACACAACATACAAACTATCTACTGACCCACTAAGAAAATCCAACAAAAGCAAAAGACATGAGGGATTGTCTTACCTCTGCAGGAGTCTACCGTATACCATGCAGCTGTGGACAAGTCTACATAAGAACTACCAAATGCATTGTTGCCCAAACACAAATCAAGGAACATGAAAGGCACTGCAGACTAATTTAACCAGGGAAGTCAGTCACAGCAGAGCACTTCATGAACCAACCTGGACACAGCATATTATTTGAGAACACAGAAATGCTGGACCACTCCAACAACCACTATGTCAGACTGCACAGAGAAGCCATTGAAATCCCCAAGCATGTGAACAATTTCAACAGAAAGGAGGAAACTATGAAAATGAACACAATCTGGCTACCAAAATCAGGACAGTAAATAAAGAGCAACACCTAAAAAGCAGGGGAATTCCAGATAAGAATCAATCAGGGCAGCTAACACCTCCCAACAAAGGATTCTTCCAGTCAGGAAGCAGCCAGGCTTTGAAGCAGCAAGCTTTTCAATGCTAGTAAAGATGGCCAATTGCAACATTCACACCTACCTCCAACAGACAAGAGTTTTTTCTCCCACCCTGGACATTCCACAGATATATAAATCTCATTTGTCTAGTTTCCAACAGACCTCACAACCTCTGAGGATTTCTGCTATAGATGTGGGCGAAACATCAAGAGGTAATGCTTCTGGAACATGGCCATACTGCCCGGAAAACTTACAGCAACTCATTTGTAAAGATTGCTTTTCTATGAATGAATGAGTGGGTTTGTTTCGTATACACTTCCATCTGAGTAATTTCACCGATCTGAAATATATGTGTCTGGTTCTCAGTATAGGGTTTATTTAGGATGAACCTTAAAGTAAGCCATTTGGAGAATGGAATTTGTGCATCTGTCTGCTGCAGTCTACAGTTCTGACTGTTGTTTTTTTTTTTTTTTATATAAAAATGGAAGGAATTTCATTTGTTTCTTGTTTGGCTACACTCTGGTGTAAAGAGTATCTGAAATCACTATCATTGTAAACTTCATACACTTCAAATTTATCTTGAATTTGAGATTCTACCTCAGTGAGTGTCTATATATGGCTGTATATGATTTTATGGGTCTGAAGTAGCATGCATTTCTGTGGGACCACTTCCATGTGAAAGTCATTCGCCCATACTTATTCCTTACAAGAGAAAACATGCTGAAATAATGGGAATTTGGTAAATTAATATTCATATAAATTCCATTGATTTCATGGCTGTATTCTAGTTAAGACTAATGATGGGATTTAGCTCAAATAATGGACTAAGATGGGAATAACAAGCAGAATAGAGGACTGTTTCAGGCTTGTGAGCCAAGGCAGGCTACTAGATTTGGATTCTCCTTCACTGCTTCAGAGCCAATAAAATTGAAATACTGGTGCCATAACCTAACAGTGATATGTGATGCTGCAAAAGTTTATACCTTATCTCTTCAGTTCTGTGTGTGCAATTTTCTTCTCCCCTCCCCTTAAGTACTTGAAGGTGACTGATTTCTCTGGAATGAAAGGAAGGCAATGGTTGTCTCCCCTGGCCTTACAAATCCTGAAGCCTTCATATATATTTTAGTACTGAACATCCAGTACAAACAATGTTAAGTAGCATACAGTTGGGGACATTTGGCCCTTCAAGTTTTTTTTCATAACTCATAGTTTTGTAGGTCTATTTTTGTCATGCACCAGAAAATACGTTTATCTAGAAAATGCATTATACTTCTCTTTACCAAGGTAGTTCTTGATAAGTATTTTAGTTGTGTTTTAGATTTGTTTGATTGTATTCAGAAATTCTATTTTTTGTCTATCTGAGAAGATTTCATAATGAAGAGAGAGGAAAGTAAAATATCATGTTCAGCACAAGTAACCAAATGTTAAACTAGTAGATAAAATTATGCTTTCTTCTGGAATGGGAATTATGCAGCTCTCCAGATATTATTGAACTACATTTCCCAGCAACCCTAGATAACAGCTCAAGTGCTGAAGAATGCTGGGACTTACAGTTCAGTAACATCCGATTGGCTACATAATTTCTTTGACTGTATATGTGCCTTCAAGTTGTCTATTGACTTATGGCAACTTCATTAATTTCATTAGGTTTTCTTATACAAGGAATGCTCAGAGGTAGTTATGCTAGTTCTTTCCTCTGAAAAATAGCACAAGTTCCTTCCCCTGCTTTAATTAAACAAATTAAGTAATTCAATATCGGTTTTATACTGGTCATAGTATGATTTGGTTCACTGTGATGTTATTGCAGAATGACAGTAGTAGTACTAGTAGTAATATTAACAATTTATTCCACTCTGCTTGTGAGTATGCATACATTGGATTTTAAAAATAATAAAAAAGAAATATGGCTTCACCCTATTGTTGGAACTTTG